AAGAAGCAATGTGGAATTGGGATATCAGGCAAATAAAAAAACTCAAATTATCATCAAACACATTAAAATGATTTAGGTTTTATGTCTGATAAACACATCAATCAGCTTGAATCTATTAGTTCCTCTTAAGTGGAATCCAGCAGACACTACGGCTTCCCTTAGATCTTCCCCATCAAGAAACAGTGATGTAAGACATGGCACTGGAGTTACATTGTCAGCATTTCACTACATCTGACAAATGACACAGATCTAACCTTCTCTTTAGTTTTCCCAACATTTGCTGCTGCTTAATCTCAAAACCTCTTTCATGAGCAATCAAAAGACGAAAGAAAAACTGCAACAGCACATCCACGCATGACGCAACTTGATGTCAGCGTTTAATAGACACGAGGAGCTGAGCGGAGCAAGATGAATGGTTTAGGGCGGTTTCCAGCGCAATCAAGAAGTGAAAATAATCCTGCACTGCTCCTGTAACAGCTCTTAAAGATGTGTGCGGCGTTTAAAGATGTTGGTAAAGCCATTATAACCAAGAACAGTGGCAGGCCGCCAGTTCAAAGGGAATTTTCCTCCTTTTGAGGTCTCCTGTGGCCTCAGCCTAGACCAGGCCACAGGAATCCAGCAGTGGATTGGTGCACAAACCTGGAACCTTAAAAGATCCCAGGCTTTGAAATGCCACTCACTCATCTCACATTATTTTTATAAAGACAGAGTCATATGGAGAAAGTTACTGTGCAGGGCAAAGCCACACCGAGAGTGAGTTTGGGGAACGGGAAGGTAGGAAACACTGACTGGGTGAGTGAATGAGAGGCTCCATATCCATCTGGAATTGCACAAAACCAAGGATAAGTGAGAGTTACCAAGGACAAAGAGGGGGTAAAAGGAGCCAAAACTATTAAAAGAATTCTACCAATGACCAAGATATAATTTTACAAATATGGCTTTGATGTATTTACACTTGTCTGTCTGTGGGGTCTACAAAGATCTGTATCGCAAGCTTAACTTAATGGCAACGTTATGCACCAGTAGCAGCATGGAGGGAACACAGTTCTCATTGTAAGGCAAACCAACCACAACTACCACTGGCTACAATGCAGTTTCCCCTGTAAAATACAGGAAGAAAATACCAGGCAGCTGTTTCCAGCCGCACAAAACTGGGCTGAAACTGTTTCTGAAGATGCTGGACAAAAGAGAGGAGATGGAATGAGAAGATGCTTTTAACACATGCAGCCGGTTAAACCTGACCCAGGCATTTTATTAGCAGACGGCATGAACTAGTCGAGGCCAACCCAGGGGTCTCGCCCCTCCTCCACCGCCTTCAACAATCTACAGTAGAGAAATTCTGTTAAAGTCATTAGCCCACGCATATTACTACGCTCGCAAAGGCTGCTGAGCCCATGACATCATTATGGGCTGCTGTCATTCCAGTGGGATGTCTGTGAGCTCTGTCTGAGAGAGAATTGGGCAGTCCCAACCATTTGCACCAGCATGCCATCATGAAGCATAGAAAACACAGTGGTCCAGAGGAGGGGAAATTACCCATTTCAAAATATCCATTTATGGAGCGCTGAAGCTGAAGCGAAGCCAGTTATGTCTCTGCAAACAAATGCTGAAGAAAGAAATCAGCTCAGCTTAGAAAGAGTGATGTGAAGTGTCTCAGATGCTTGGCACATGCGGTATGATACTATGGGAAGTGCACCTCGGGATCCAGCCCCAGACAGCCAAGCCATGAGGTTGCCTTCCAGAAGAGCTCTAACTGCAAAATCAGGAGCCTTTGATGTAGCGCTATCTCACAACAAACAGCTAGCAGGGCCGAGAGAAAAGCACTGTCTGATAAGGACTTGAATATATAGAAGAACGTTGCACTTTCCCACAAAGTAAAGGAAATGTGGAGCTATTATGGGCCAGAGTGAGGTGGAGGCTGGAGAGGTTGAAAACTTTTCCCACTCGAAAACACAACTGAAATGTTGAGTCTACTGCTCCATGCATAGAAATCATCTGCTCTGCACGGCTGAACATAATAACAGGGACCGATTTGTGCTGCAGTACTTTCAAACAGCTAGACTTTTCCTAGGCAGGATGTGTTGATAAAAAAAATACCCAAAAAGTGTTTTTATATGTGAAAGACGAGTGAAGTTCTTTTTATTTTGACTTTTTTTTTTTTACAGCCACTCACTTCATAAAGAAGTTATCTGCATCAAAGGGACATGCTGTGGGCTGTCGTAGTAGAGCTTGTAGCATAGCACAGTGTGTAATTGTCGTAATAGCTGAGATATAGCACAGCATTCAAAATCAGGGGCTGAATGGCTTCTTGCTGCGTTAGTCTCCTCATACGAGAGCTTCGCTCCGTGGCTGCTGATTGCTCTGGCAAGCAAATAATGGCTTCATTCCAGAAACATGGAAGGTCCAAGAAAGAGACCGTCTGAGTGATGCTGCGAGGATCCACTCACATCTTCGGTGCTTGATGCTGTAATTAGGGCCTTAGACAGCTGAAAGTCAGAGCTGGGTGTGGTAATGTTGAAAATGTGGAGTGAGGAGCACAAAATAAGCACCCATGGGAAATTAGGATGCTACTGTTTGACAAGGAAAATAAATAGAAACAGAAAAAGTCTCAATTTTAGATCTTGGATTACTCAGATTTCAGCTGAATGCTGTTATGTGTCAGTATGATAGGCAAGGAGCCAGGCGGAGGTGGAAGACGTATTCAAACAAGCAGTTTAAAGAAGTCCTGTGAGTAATACACTGTGACTAAAACAGTTAGGAAGGAAACATGTCCTGGTGATCGTTCCAGTACCAAAGTTCCCGTCAAATGTTGTCTCAGATACAGTGCTGTGCAGATGTCTTGAGCCACCCCTTACTTCTTTATAAATGGCTAGGAACATAGGAAACGGACACAAATGAGAATGCAGTATAAGGCAAAAGATTTTGCGCAATTCTAAAGAGTTTGAAAGTCAATATTGGTAAGTTGTCTTCATGAATATTTATCCAGGCGTCTTCCTGGTTGTTGGCTGCTTTTTGTTTTTATTCCATGACAGAACTCTCCAGTGTGTTAACAGTGGCTGTAGACACCCGCTGTAAAGACCTGTTGCAGCTGATTTTCAGTCCACTTCTTGTGCAATTTGGCTGAGCTGAAAGCCCAGGTGCATCTCTCAGGTCACGACTCAAACACGTGACTTCCACATGTTTCAGAGAGTTTTTAGGCCTGCAACTTTTCCACCTGTTTTCTCAATTTTTCTAAGATCACGTTGCACATTATGGTGAATGTTTTCAGCTTTTAGCTCTTTTGGGATCACCTTAATGATGCAAAAATACTGTTTTATGCCTGTGAGACTGTTATGTTTGGCATTTTTTATAGATTCAACCAATGAGCCAACCTGGAGAAATATTGTTCAAGACCGCTTTAAAAATGGCAACAACGTCAGGTTACTTGGAAGCAAAATATACAAAAATTAGAGATGGCTCGAGACTTTTACTGTGTTACTATGACAAAAGTGGACTGAAGTAAAATCTTCATTTGAACCCTCATCACGGCCTTAATATTATATCATACTATAAGGACTCCATGTTGACATGATTTGCGACCAGCACACCCGGGCTGTCCCATCTAAACTCAAAGTTTCCTGGCACGCGCTTACTGGCTTCCTTGTTAAGATGAGAGGGCTGTCACCACTCAAGCACGACAATGTTTAAGTCTGACATGGTTGAACAGCAATCTCACAAGATGCATGCAGGAAACGAAAGTTTCAGACCGAGTTTTGCACATTAACCCTGATAAAACCACAACTTGTTGACACTACTCTTTGAGTTTGTTAAACTGAATTAAAACGCTAAGTAAATGCCGTGAAAGAGATTAAGGGGGATTCTCTGACAATTTGGAAAACTTTTAAGAGTAAGAGGCTTTACATACAAAGAAAATTGAATAAAAAAAAGATGGACGGATGGAAACATACGTTTTCTTATTTTTTCATCAGATACGAGACTTTTTGTGGAATCCCCAAATTAAAACTGTATAGTCAAAGTCGAGCTGCTGGCTGATTACATTCCGCCCACCTAAGTGGAAAAAAACCCCAAACAAAACCCAAATTTTCATTACAGCATCTCCTCTTCGCTTCAGCGCATGAATAATGAAGGAATCTAGACACGCGATCGTGCTTGAAAGAGAAAGTAGCCGTAAAGTCCCGCTTTGTGATGTGCTGAACGCTGAAATGCCCCCTCTGACGCATAAATGACACCCTGTCATCCTTGTTCGACTCCGCTGATCGACAGGGAGGTGGGTGTCGACGGTGCGCTCGCTATTACAAAGCGTCTAAACGCCTAAACTCGGGCCTGGTGTGGAGGGTGTAGGGAGGTAGGAAAGGGGAGGGGAGGATACTTCGGGTGTGGGAGTTTTGGGGGAATTCAGAAAATGTTGTTTTTTAGATGAGTCGCCTGCAGCGAGAGGGGCTAAACTAAATAAACGCAGAATGCTGTGATGTTCTCCGTCAAGGATATGCAGGAAAATGTCCTCCATCCTGTAGAGGAGAGGGGGGAAAATCCCGTTTACCTCTCCCCCTACCAAACACCACCACCTCCACCACTCTCGCCATGCCGCGCTCAGTATGTGCCACTTCAGCCAAACGCTGAGTTGTCTGACTTTTGGAGAGACAAAAGAACCGCAGGAGTGGGGAGAGAATGAGGGGCGGGACGGAACGGCACAGGTCGGTTCATTTAATACATCAGCAGCTCATAATGGTCCATAATAGTCCAAATAAATAAACAAATAAACAATAAATAACAAATAAACAAAAAAGAGCAAGAAATAAACTTTTTTTTCATATATAGAAAGAACAAGACAGTCCACTATATGGGTTGTTTATAACTGTGATCCAGTGCTCTAAGTGAAAATAAACCCACCACCGACAAGTTTAAAAGCTCAACAAGTTTAAAAGCAAAACACAGACAGCTGCTACTCGATTATTCGACCGCACCGTGGCAAAAGTGCGGTTATTAGCCCGTTAACTTACCAAAACAATGGCAAATTTCTCCTCCAGCTCGGTGGGGTCAGGCATGGGCACCTTCAGAGGCATGATGTGCTGCTTCATCTCCGACTGGCCGTCCACACTCTCTATATTACCCATTTTAATGCCTTATCCTGCCGTCGACTTGAAACTTGCCTCAGCTTCTTACGGCGACAAGAATAATCCAAGTAAAAGAAACAAAAAGAAAGAAATCTCCAAAGTATTCCGAGAGTCTCATCCGCGATTTAATCCGAATAATCCACTTCTCTCCAAAAACAGATTATTGAAGAAAAAAGAAGAAGAAAAAAGCTGACACTGCAGTAGTCCCTAAATGCCATTTACCCCTAATCACGCGTTTAAGTTGACAGTGTTTGACTCTAGTCTCTTTTTTAAAAGTAAGAGTGCAGCTGCTTCATCTTCCAGAAAGTAGCCTCTGTCTTGCCTGGCCAATCCATTACTTACAGCGAATTTTCCCCAATGACAGATAACTTTCAAAACCCGACCGACAGTTACTTTTAGGTGCTGCTCAACTTTCTTGGCTCCGACGTGTTTCCATTCATTATTGTTGTGTGATCCTGATTAAGGTCTTTGCTGTTGCCTCCACTCAGAGCTCAGGGTTTTCTTCTAGAGTCCTGCCCGCATTGGGGGTGGCATGCCTCCTGTTGGTCTGACTGCATGTCAGTCATTGCAATCTGTCTCCCTCCCTCCCGCCCCTCACATCTGTAAGCAGTGAGCCTGCATACAGCTGGACGGAAAAGCCGATTGTCAGCACTTTATCGCGACCTGCTGGCAAGAAATTGCCATGACAAGAAAGATCATTAGAGAAATAAATAGATGACAAAGCTGGTTGGATTCACAGGAGTGCAAAGTTTAATCAACAGCTTTAGCAGATGCATGATGATATGTTGAAATGATCAAAGCACAGCAGTTTTCCTTTTTACTTCTGACACTCTGTTTTTTTCCACCCTTTACCACAAATCAGTGTCTAAGTGTCTGCAGTGAGGTGAGACATGATGGGACATGGAAGTTGTCCCGGAACAGGTATACAATAATCTGCTTCTCATGAGGTCAAAAAGGGTTTTGCGTGTAAAAATAAAGGATAAACATGACTGTAAGCCATCAGCCATTTGCATTTAGGACTACAAACACATAAAAACACAAAGGAGCTCTGGACAAAACATCTACAAAGTTTTCTCTTGGTAAAAGCACAGTGATTAAGACTGTACAGTATCGTACCTCTGTTCTCAGTGGAAATTTGGGCTTGAAGGCTTGTAACACTTTGATTTAAAAAATGAACATTCAGAAAGTTCTGGTTAAAACATATAAAACTTCATCTGGAACATATTTCATAAACACTGACAAACTGTGCACAGTTTTGAAATACTTATGGCAGTAATATAAACCCACATAAACAAAGCCATAACAGGAACTGTTTGGAGACTGTAACAAATAAAATTCAAATAAATGTTTTCCCGTTTTGTTGGATGCTGAAAATCCATAAAATGTTGTCGTACCTTTGGAAATTGGACAAATATATAAGCCCTTTTAAAGCTAAAATGCAAGAGGACTTTTTGCATGCTTTAAACACACATAACCTTGGTTTGTCGTGCAACATAGTTGCATTATTATCAAATATTTATTCAGCTTAAATATCTGCCTGAGACAGAATGGATTCAGCACAGTTATCACTTCACGAATATTTAGCGACAAGTAAAGTTTTGCTCATAAATACTGATGGACTGTGTTTTTCTGGAGCAGATATGTCATCGTTTTTTTTCTTCAGTGATGGTGGAAATTTCCATTTAAGCTGAATATACACACGCACAAATCACAGGTCACAGAAGCAATGTTTATGTTTGAAAGTAGATGCCTGAGGATCAGGCATTGATTCTTTTAGTTGGTCTCTGCTGCCAAGTCGTACCTGAAAATAAAAAGAAAGAAAAGACAATGGATTGTTTTTTGTCATGCTTAAAGAAGAATAAAAACACTTCACTGTGGTTCTTATAATTGATGCATGAAAGGGTTAAATAGTTACCACTGTGTGACACCCGTCTTGAGGTCAATTTGGTCCAGGTCCAGCTGCAACTGAAGGCAACGAGAGAGAGAAGAAGAGTCTTGAGATTAAAGCCAAGTATTTTACACAACCTTGGGCAAAGACGAGCTGAATTTCAGACGTGACCGATTACAAATACCTTGCCGATAAGCTCCCTCTCTCGGCTGATGAAAGAGACACTGTTCTTCACAGACAGGTCCAGTCTTCTCTGAGAGGATTCCTCGACTGATAAGTCAAAGTCAAACCTACAGAAACAAGCAAGGTTAATGTGGGAGAGGTCAGTCGCTATAATCACAGCCCTATTTGTTTGTCTTGCCTCTCATTAAATTCTGGGCTCAGGTCTTTCTTCTTGGTCGCAGTTTTCCTCTTGGTGGTAGCCTTCTTGTCAGGCAACAGGATGAAGGAAACATACGGGTCTGCGCCATCCTTGGAACGCGCTACCAATGCTCTGTCAGTATAAAGAGATCACATCCACAACGTATGATGGTTTTTCTGCTTAAAGTGTGATGATGATGATGATGATGGGATGGGTAACGTATGGCTTATAGAAACCTGCAGGAGTGAACAGTGATGAAAAGCCGGTTTTCCTCCATGGAGTAACCGATGGTAAGCTTCACCTGTCCTGCTGAGTTTGGGTTGTCACTCACCCTAAAGACACAGATGACAGTCACTTAAGTATATTACTGCGCTTACAGTGCAGGTATGCACCACACAGCAGGACTACTATACCCCTATGTGTGACTCACATGGAGAATCCAGGTCTGTGTCTGAGGTCCAGATGAGAAGGATCCCATTTAGGGATGACGCCATCGACACCTCCCTCCCCTACAGCCCCACGACACACTGCCAGCTGAGTGTCCAGGATCTGCAAGGTATATTAAAAATAATCACCGAATAAAAATCATGACTCAATAATTATGACTTAATAAACATCATGGACTAGTTTAGATAATGGCACACAGTCAGTAAGCACTTAGTATAGCATTGCTCCAAGAAAAGCTACTACAGCACAGTGAAAATAAGCAGCCTGTCTGCAGTACCTTCAGTATGACCATCAACAGTATCTGGCTCTCTGGCAGCGCTCCATCCAGATTGAGCCAGCGGTCCAGAACCAAGTCTGTCTCAGCCAGCACCTCCTTCAGAGGAAGTGTCAAAGAGCCGAGAGCCTGGCCCCAGCTGTGGGAAAGCTACAAGGAAACAAAGACATAAATAAACGCACACATCTTCTACTTCTTTTATTGGTGTAAAATGTTTTAGTTTTGACAAATGGTGTGAATCAAATGCATCTACTTTGCATCCTCATGATTCAGATAAATATAGATAATGACTCGCACCTTGACCGTGAGTATTTCACTTCTGGGGTCACTAGTCAAAAAGTGAAAGCCTTCATCCCATCGAGGGGACGTGGATCGCTCAGAGACCTTTAGAAAAAACAAACAATAAATGTGACTTTTGTGAAACACCATTTTTTCCCTTTATTTTCAGTGAACATCTTTAGTGAGTTAAGAGCCTACCTTGGTTTTGTATGAAACATTTTTAAGGATAATCTCGGCTCCAACTTTTGGCTCCTTTCCATTCTTCTTCAGCTGAAATAACGTACAAATGATTACACGGCACTACAGGAACTGTAAGCAACAGCATCAGCGTGGAAATATAAGACAGAAACAGTTTGTACTCTGTCTAACCAGCTTGAAAGTCAATATTTGATGTGACACAGCTTGAACACTCTTAGGCTTTCTTGTCATGTCTTTAAGTAGACTGCAGGAATGGTTCTCCAAGCTTCTTAAAGGACGTTCAAAGCTCTTCTTTGGATGTTGGCTGCCTTTTGTTCTGTTCTCTGTTGGTGCATTTCTGCATTCATAATTCCACCACTGTGTTTAAAGACAACTGTAGACACTCACTGTTGTACCGCTCTGCTGAGCAACACTGTGCATGATTTTAGCATGCCACTTCCTCTTTTGTCCTCCACTTGTCCAGTTTCCTCAGATGTTTTTAAGGAGATGTCGTGCCACCATGTGAAGCTAATAGCTCTTTGGGAATGACCTTATTGATGTAAAAAAACGATCTTATAACCGTTTTTCTTAGAGTAAAATAAATGGGCTGCTAGTCAAATAGTTCCCACAGATACAATTTAAAATCGGTTCTGTTAAAGCAAATTGTTATCTGTTATAGTACGTGTAGACACAACTGCGGGGCTGTAGCTCAGGAGTTAGAGCAGGTCACCTACCAGTTTGTAATTTGGTGCCAACTGCTTGCCAAATATTCTTGGCCAAGATACTAACCCCAGTTTCCTCTATGAATGTGCGTGACTGTTAGAGAGAAAGCACTTGGTTTTGAAAAAGCATGTGAATGGGTGTCACTGAGACTAGTTGTATATGTGAGTGCACAGGCAGAGTAGAAAAGAGCTATAAAAGCACCAGTCAGTTTACCATTTAAAATACTGGTTCATCCTTGAAATAGGTAAAACATAGACAAGTGTTTGTGGCTAAACAAACACAAAAAGGCATTCTTCTGAAATGACCAGGCACAGCAAGCTGAAAAAGTCTGAAAAAAAAACAGCCAATGTCCAAAGAAAGACTTTTTAAGACCTCCAGAAAGTCTCTAGAACTATTGCTCATTGGAAGCAAAATATTTAAAAAATGACCATAAACACTCATCGATATGGTCTCACCGGAAGGCCGTGGGCACGCTCCACGTACACGAACACCAGAGCGGCTGACGGCACCACCTTGTTTTGGAAAGACTGCAGGGACTGGTACTGCAGGATCTGTAGAAAAGAGGGGCAAAGACAGGAGAGAGAGAGCGTTTCATGAAGACACTAGGAAACTAGCGGTTCATGTTTCCTTTGCACCACCAGCTTTAAGTTTAGGACACAAAATCTTTTGTGTATTTTATTTAACTGTAAGTGTATTTAGCTGGGCGCGTCCAAGTCATTAGACAATGGAAAATAGAAATACTGAACCTGCTCCAGTCTGGAGAGGTCAGAGACCCTCGGCAGCCACTCCAGCATTAGGTGAACTCGACCAGACTTCACATCATTTAGAGTGTACCACTGAAACAAAAGTGTTACAAAAAATGTAAGTTATGATAAGAATACAAATGTAAATATTTGCTATATTATTTGGTCACGTCTTTTTAATAATGGCACACACCGTATCGGTGTATCGTGCGCTGATGATGTCTCGTAGGCTAAGTTTGAACCTGCAAAAAAAGGCACAAAATTTTATCCTTCATTTGTCAGCAGGTTTAAAAACAAACTAGTCAGAAATGTTCACGTCAGGACTCACCTTCCCAGGAAGTCATCCTGATCAATGTCCTTATCAAACAACTCAAACTGGATTTCTTGACCTGGAAGCTGGGTCAAAATAACCTAAACAGGAAAAAAGAAATCAAGTATTTGTAATCTAAAATTGAATGATCTGATCAGATGGATAGAATATCTAAGTGAAACTTTTAAAAGTGATAGCACCTCATAGAGTTCGTTCCAGACAGGGTTGAGGTTCTCTTTGATGGTGTGGCTGCGGAA